TTTCAAACTCCCAGGAGCCAAATAGACCATAGATGAAGACCTTCTCCTATGTCCTGAGTGCAATACCCCACCTGGTACTGTTTCTAAAATTCTGGAAGAGTTTCTCTCCCTCCAACACACGTGAGAATTCCCATGTAGTGTGCAAGCAGACAGACAGGCTGGCTGGTTCTGTGGAGCTTGTTTACTTGTTGATACACCTGGACCCACTCAGGCCCAGGGAGAGACAGAACTGGGTCTAACCAGTGACACTAGTTCTGAAGCTATGGTAGAATCTGCTGATTGGAGTCAGTACTCTGTCTTAAATGGTAATTATATCCTGTGACTCAATTATTAGAATAAAAAATCAGTTAGACAAAGCAGAAAAAGCAAGCCCTGCTCCAGCGTCTGTGAGGTTTGGTGTTAGGTAAAGATTCACAGAAAGGAAGTTGTATTTGCTCTAGAAACCAGTGCAAGCACATCTTCTGTTAAACCCATTGTGTTAAACAGAATATCTGCGTGCCTACACTGACTGATGTATACACATGTACTTAATACTGTTGTTCTTGGGAGGTGCTGTCAAGTCAGCCTCAACTCACACAGATCCTATGTACAACAGAACGGAACCTCCCTGCCCGTTCCGTGTCATTCTCACAGTTGCTCTTACGTTTCACCGTAATGTCTATTAGATTGACTTGCCCTACATCCTATATAATGTCAATACAGAAAAAAGACCAAAAGACAATTATTGTTTTACAGAGTACCATACAAATGAATAAGGATATTTTAAACTTAAAACAAGTCAAAAACCAATAACCTAATCAAAGAGTAGATTTCAAAGACTCCCCCCTTCATCAAAAAGACACTAAAAATTACTCTATCAGCTCTTAGCATTAGGCCCTCTTTCCCAAGAACAGCCATTAATATTGTTACTTGACACAAGAGAAATCAGAAACAAAGTTTGGGCTCTTTAAAAGCAACCCACAAGGCACCACAAAGATTGATATATAGGTGGTAGTACAGAAATCTTAGAAACCCAATTGTGGTTTTATCATCGACCGAAAGAGACATTATTAGAAACAAAAACACAAAGGAGACACATAAGGTTTGGAAAAGGTAGACTTTTAATAACTGCTTTATCGCCAGGTTTAAGTCATGCAGTTTACAAAGTAGTTAGAAATTTCTGAAAGGGCATTGTTAAAAAAAAAAAAAAGGGGGATAAAGGAGGGGGGAAGGTGCTCATTCATTATATAAATAATATCTAGCATTTCATGGAGACACTACTTTTCACAAGACCCTGGCCAAACAACTCCTGACCCAGCGCTCGAGGCCAGGCTGTTTACAGGCAGTCTGTCCACGAAGCTCGTGGGCAGAATGAGGCCTGCAAGGGGCGCAGGGCACAATGCCAGGCCCTTTGGACCGTTAGCAATGCTCAGAGTCGCCAGCAAGACTCCAAACAGGGAGCGTGAGTGTTGATTTTTCTGGAATAATCTACTTGAATTATTGTTAAATTAGTCGACATGATAGACCCTTAAAAGAAAGGGAAATTAATGAAATGATAAGGAGGGCACAGTATTCTTTGGACTATGTGTCATGATTATAGTTCATAAATTCAGATAGTCTTAACAAAAATAGCCTCCATCTGCAGTACTGAAGATAACACAATTCTCTAGCTGGCTTTGCTGGACGGTCAGACACAACTGATAAGCTATAAAGGATACTGTCTTATGTTACAAAAATACTAGCTTTTTCTTTATGTTTATAGGCATTCTCTGCTTGAGTCAACGTTAGGCTTGTTAAGTGATTCAAGGCAATTGTATTAGAGCAGTATATGCGTATTTAATTCTAAAGAAAGAAAATACATAAAAAGAAACTGGCTTTGTTTGCAACTTGCCAAACTGAGCGTTTTGCTGATGTGAAATTATCAATAACTCACTTTAGGATGACGTCACCTTCTGAAAAGGCCACATACACACACCTACTCCTTAAATGTGTCCGTGTGACAGCATGTCCAAGACTTGTCTAGGCTGCCAGGAGGCAGGCCACTGGCTGCTCTTGGACAATGGGAGTTCATTCTAAACACTGGCCATCAACGTGTTGGGACGCAGCCAGAGCTGGGACACAAAGCCAGATGGAAGGGACTTTTAATTCAAAGGCAAAATACCCCAAATGACCTTGTGGCACGGGTGATTTCTATCTTTACCCTCACTCATCAGCATGTACATGATCACCTCATCTTCATTTTTCCTTTTTATGGGGCTGATTTGAATTGACCTGCTGAGAATGGTGTTCTTTACGATATATTAAGTCAGGATAGAGAGAATTCTGTGGTTACATGTAAACTTGTGATAGGATTGTAGCTGTTACAGGTGGAGAGGATAGTGGAGCGGCCAGCCGTGACCCGTCTATGTGAAGGTCACACCCGCTTCATTGTACACCTTGAAGACTTTTTCAATGGCATTGACATAGGCAGCAGTTCTCAGGTCCAGCCCCAGGTTATACTTCATGGCTGTGCGCATGATTTGCTGAAACGAAGGAGAAGACACAGTGAAGCCCACCAGTGTGACCCAAGGGACATGCCAGCCTGGGACCAGCTAGTTCTCCATCCCCTGTCACCGTTTCCGTGGCAGACAGTCACCCAGAATACAACAAATTCTAGTCTGCAGGCACGAATCCTCTGGAATTACATTGGTTACTGTCTACACAACAGTTAAGAAGTTACTCTTTCAATTGTGGGTGTTAATGGTTTCAACATATTCTTTGTGATTTCTCAAAAAAACAAACAAACAAAAGAACACAAACAACTCGGAGCCATGAAAATATTCCGGAATTAGATAGCTTATGAAGATGCTAAAAGTCACTAACTTGTAGACTTCAGAAGGGTGAGTTTTATGGAAGGTGAATTGTATCTCAATATAAAAAGCTGGCTACAAAAACCAAACCAAACCAAGTAAACAAAAAAACCCCTAAGAGGCACTAGCTCCATTTATCCGATTCTAACTGAAATCCAAATGGACAGAACACGCACACAAGAAGAAACCCAACACAAACAGTATTGGAGACCTTGAAATGAGGGCCAAGTGGTCAAAAAAACGTCCACTCATACAAAACTTCATGGAACACCAGCTTCCTGTAGCTACTAATACACTGATGGTTGCACCGCAAGCCAGTTTGGCTAACGGCTTGCTACCAATTGCCCGATGTCAATCCTTCCCTCCTAATTAGGCACTGATGTGTATTTGTAAAGGCCCTACAGAGGAAACACTACTCATCCTCTAAAGAAGCGTGTGCTTTGCTATCCTCAAAGGAGGGCCATTTAAAGTGACTGGGCGTCTATCAGCACACACGGTCTGGCAGCTTGTGCGCAAGGGTGTGCTGTACGTCACGTCACTAGCAGAGATGCTAGCAGTCTCTGTACACGTACCCGGGCAGAACGCTCCATCGTGTAAGCTAAGCCCGAGTGCACGATGTCTTTCTCAGAAGCACCCTATGAGGAAAAAGAAGAAACATTTAAGCAAACCACACAAAGGCATGTTTCATGTCTATCAGAGTAAGGATTCTGAAGTCACTGTGGCCAAACACAATGGTTTTGCTTTGCACTAAAGATACATTTAATTTCTCTCCAGTATGTTGGCACTTACATAAGCAGCTGAACTTAAAGCAGTTTGGTTTTAATAACATTTGAGAGCAGAAACAAATACTCATCAATGGTAAACAGTGAACATAAAAAGTATAAGCCAGGAGAAAAAAAAAAGTGTAAGCCAGGGTTGACAAAGGATGGAGTTCAGTGTCCTCATCCATCTGAGCTACAAATGTCCTATAGCAGCGGGTTACCCTGCCAAGGTCTCATGCGTCGGCCTCCAGAGGAAGCAAGGAATAGAAGGAACGTGGCTACTCCCAGCAGCAGCACCTCTAGGCTGTGGGTTCTTGCCTGTGGGTTCAGTAATACCACCACCTTCTGAAGCGGAATAGCTCTTTGCTGTTATTTCTTTAGCTCTTAATTTACCAGCGAGGAGGAGGACAGCTTCTGTCCTAAAGGCCTATGTCCTAATGGGTGAAGTCACGGCTATTTTTAGAGCTGGGATATAACCCAGAACCTTGGACCAGGTCAGCTTTATCCCTTTCTTATGACAATGATCTCTGATGAGTCAAGTAGAAAGTCCTTGGAATGCTTTGTAAGGAGAAGTCAATATTCCCATCACCCTTAATGTGAGACACAGAGTTCTAAAGTGCATGTCTGGACAGGCTAGCTCACAAGCTAGAGTAGGCCACCAACAAATGCTATCCAAACGCCTCCGTTTCACTTTCCATAGCAGGGTCTCTACACTGGGCCTCATCCAATTCAGATGGTGCTCATTTAAGGAACTGTGCTTCTATAACATTTGTATTCATCAAATATTTACATTAAACTTTTTCTTTTGTTCTCCTATCAAGCACATAAGAGGAAACTGGATTGGTCTAAGGCAGACATGGTTGTTTCATTCAAACAGTAAACATGCATTGAGTATCTACTATGGGCTGCTAATTGCAAAGTCAGTGATTTGGACCGACTCACTGCACTGTGGGAGAAAGATGAGACTTTCTGCCCCTGTAAAGATGTAGAGCCTTGAAAATCCGAGGGTGCAGATCGACTCTGCCGTACACAGTCAGTGTAAGTCAGAAGCAACTCCCTGGCAGCAGGTTGGCTAGATGCCAAGCACTCTACTGGGTGCTGGGGACAAAGCAGCAAGCAAAATAAGAATTTCCTGTTCTCCTGGGCTAGTTTGTTCTAATGGGCGGTGGTACGCGCACTGCGAGGCTAGGTTGAGTGAGTGAAGATACATCAAAGATCTGAATCTCGTTGGAGAAGGGGTTCTGACTCTGAGGCCCTTCCAACATCAACAGTGTGGTCCCAGGAAGAGATGCAAAGGAATGTTTAGTGAGGACACAGTGTCCTGGGAGAGTACACCCTAGGGAGGAGTGGTCTGTGATGAGAACAGAACAGAGGCTGACAGGTCCATTCCGAGGAGGACTGAGACAGGACTGCTGGCTTGGGCACTGTTGATGCCACTGGTTACCTTGGAGAGAACAGTTCTGATAGTTTGGTGGGCAAAAGTGTAGGTTCAAGTACAGGAGTAGTGGGGATGGTATATACAACTCTTTCAAAGAGGTTTATGGTAGGGGGCCAAAAGAGTAAGTGGAAGGAGAAGCAGGATTGACATTTCTTTAACAAGAATTACAGTTGGCTGTACAATCCTTCCCTTAATCAATACGATTTTTCCACTACCATTAAATAAACCCCCTTTCCCCCTTCCCCCCCACTTCTAGTGACCACTAATGAACTTTGTCTCTATACATCTGTCTTTTCATACCAGGAGCCTTTCAAAAGGGTTGTGGACAAATGGCCTGTTTCTAGGTCATAGATTCATGGGATATGCTAGTCAACCGTCTTACTAACATGTTCAGTGCTTCAGTTCAACCTCCTGGTTCGATGCATAATTTATAAAGTAGTCATCCAAAGCACAAGTGGTCTCTACTTAACTAGAGCAACACAGGAAAGGGAGTCAGGAGAAGGAGGCAGACAAGGAACGTGGGGTGACTCGCCTTCACCATCAAAGACTTCCTTAGGCGGTCAGAAGAACCTTGACCAAGATTTCGAAAATTCAGAACAGAATTTCAAGTTCTCGTGGACTTCCAGCTTTCTGAAGCCATGGAGGCTGATGGACCACTGAAACTATTGCTCTGGCCCAATCTGTAAACCTTGAACCATAATATCCCACGAAGTCTTCTGAAATGGTTTAGTGTTCATGAACAATATCTGTCTTAGGCACTCTGTTCTTTAAGGAGCCCTGGTGGTGTAGTGGTTATATGTTGGGCTGATAACCCCAACATCTGCTGTTTAAAACCACCAGCTGCTCCTCGGGAGAAATAGACTTTCGAGCACCATCGAGAGTTAGATTAGAGTCTCGGTCTCAGAAACTGACAGGGGCAGTTCTACCCTGCCCTAGGGTCGATGTGAGTTGGAATCGACTCCATGCCATGACTTTGCTTTGGGTTGACAAGAGGTTTGGGTGTAGCGCTGGGCTGCTAATGGAATGGTCTGTGATTTGAAACCACTAGCCTCTCCGAGGAAGCAAGAGGTGGCAGTCTGCTTCTGTGAAGATTTACGGCCCTGGAAACACCACAGGGCAATTCTCTGTCCAACAGGGCTGCTGTGAGTTGCTATGAGCTTGCTGGTGTTACATATCTTTTTGTTGTGTTATATAATGTACTAGAAAACAGCCAGGGAGTGACTGTAGTAACGGGTGTGGAAGGCAGACAAGGTGAGAAGTGAGGATGTTAACAATGAGAGACAGCAAAAAGGGAGAGTCACAGGATGCAGGTCCTGGTAAGGCCAAAGATGGTTGGAGGAAGCTGGGAGAAGACTTAACTTTTACATTGGGAAAGAGTCTTTTCAACAACCAACTCAATCAGAGGTGAGAAAGCATCAGGCTGAAATAGAAGCCAAGTATTTGAAAATTGGGATTGTTTCAAAAAGGATACAGTCACTATAGCTCTGTCTTCCTAAGTCACCTATACTGCCCCCAGTGGTTGCGGTTTGAGAGGCAGCCACGTGGCAGGTGATGTTAGGAAGGGGGGGGCAATGTGAATGGGCATGTGACCCAAGAGCAGTGGCAATGGCAGGCCCACGCCAGGCACTGCATGGCTCTCTCAACTGCAAGATGCACAACACTCCAGCTCAACAGGTGGATGATGAATCAATTCTAGTCCCTAGAGGGGCCGTTCAGAGGAAGCCACAGGAGTGGAGATGGTTCTGGTCAGCTCTCTAGACTGCCCAGGCCCCCACTGCTTAACCCGTAGGGCTTCAGGGACGATTTTGAATGGTGAAACGCCTCTTCTCCTTCAAACAAAAACCTTAACCTTCCTCCCCATGATGGTGTGCAATATACAGCCTGAAATTTATTTTCTAAGAAAACAAAATTCCATTTTAAAACACGACAATGCAGCTATTTCTCAGCCACTGCATTGTTCAATCAAACCTAATTTTAAAATCACCTGCAAGTAGTTTCAGTGGACATGCTCGCGCATGCAGCCATTCCTCTGCTTTGCATTATTTCCTTAGGACACATTTTCAGAGAGCAGACTAGTGTAGGACCATGGGCAGGAACACTTTTAACAACTCATCAAATTGTTTACTAAAGAAGCACTACACCAACCTGCACTGTCATCAGATTAAAGGTGGAAAAGTCTTGCCACGGACATGCTAAGTGAAAAATCCACACATTGTCTTTCCTGCTTTAATAAATATAAAAAATGCCTCATTGACTTGTATTGTTTTAAGAGTGAGGTTGACCATTTTTTCCAGGTTTACTTTGCTGTGGCTCCTTGTTCATGCTTCTGTCAGTTACTGGTAAAGAAAGCCTCTGTGATACGTGTGTACTAATCGAGTTTCTGTCACACTTTCTATTTCTCTGGAGTTTAATTGAGCTGCGAGAATGTAATAGCCATTCATGATTATGTTAAGATCACTTGTGAGTCATCTGGGTAGCGTAAGTAACAAAAGCAGAAACACCATCAATTACTTATTTTTAGTCCATTATTAGTCACTAGGATTTTTACTCCATTTTTAGAACCTAAGGACGAGGTAGTACACTGCTCTCTCAAATCATACCATGACGGCTGTGCTTAGAACCAGCCCTCGAATCAACCTGAACGCAATGAAGAGAGCAGAGCAGAGTGAGTAGAAAAGGTACGCTTGTCCACACTCACCGATATCCTGTCTTGGAACTCTGCGGTGGGTACGACAGGGATAGTTCCGCCATGCTTTCCAAACTTCCTTTCTAAACTCTCTTGAACAGACACTGTCAAAAGCCACGAGACCAAGATCAGATGCTGCTAATAAGAAATATAATCCAAAGCAGTCTCAAATTGTATCTTTAACCCAAAGTTCAAACACAGAATTTTAGGAAGCTCCATCATAAAAGTACCAATCATTTAAAACTCAAGAGAAATAAATCACTTTGTAAAAAATGTGAATCTAGGTCACTGCTGTTTCCATAACACCCATTACCAGGGCTTTTCCTTGGCTCTGTTAAAAAGAAACCACAGAGGTAGAAAGAAAGAAGTGGAGCACTTCACCCAGATTCCCAGGGTGGCTGAGTAAAAGGCAGCTCTGTTGGAGGTCTTAATTCAGCCTGATGAGAAATTCTACTAATTCTGGAGCATACTATTATCAAAGAACACCAAATATTCTCATCAGAAACTCAACAACAGAAAACCTCAACACTAGACATGCCTTTACTAAATGTACGCAGGGAAAGAAGTGGGCACGGGTCAACAGTGGAGGCCACAGTTTTAAACGATGTTTTAAAATAATATTACTAACGTGGACTCAGGGATTCAGAATAAAAATTTGAAAATAAACACATGGGGGAGTTAACGTGGACTCAGGGATTCAGAATAAAAATTTGAATATAAACACATGGGGGAGTTGCCATGTTGGACACCCTTAAAATGAAAATTCGTATTTCTGGTCCAACTCTTGTGAGCTAGAATAACATGGTCAGTGGTGCGGTTAAGTGAGCTAAGATCAATTTTAAAAGAGACATTTGTCATCCAAACAATATGCTGTCCCTAGGCTTTTAAGAGGCCCTCAACAACTATTTTTGAGACTAGGATCATCAACACGAATTCTCTGTAAACTCAACTCTCTCAAATTACGAGAAATGTGTTCTTGAAGCAGCATGCTTTTTTCAACCTTGAAACTGGCCTCAAACAATGGGTTTTGGAAAAGGGGACGGTCAGCACTCACTGAGCAGGTGGTAGTTAGAGTCCCTTTCATACTTGAAGGTCAGGCGGCCATAGCTGACGTGATTGAGGTTCTTCAGCCATTCAAAGTAAGAGACCGTCACGCCGCCAGCATTCAAGTAGAGGTCCTACACACAGAAGATGGAACAGGAAGACATTGAAAGAAAAGAAAAAAAAAGCCAAGAACCTAAAAACTTAACCTAAGAGCTCAATGTCAGTATTATGAATAATCCAACAACCCAGGACAGCTGAACTTTTGACCTTTTTTGAGGGGGTGAGGGGTGGGGGTGGGGATGACTGGATTATGATTGATGAGCATTTGATCAATTTTGGCGACAACTTTGGGCTCTTCTCCAACAAAAAAAGGACTCAAAAACCGGCTTGCCCAGCAGTCTTTACATTGCACTGTCGGAGGGTGATCTCACCAGAAGATTAGCATTCCTCCTCCCACTACCCAAGGGCTGCCCCTTTCAGATAAATAAAATGTATTAATGGCTTTCCAAAAAGTAGATTCCTTAAGACACCTTCCAAATAGATCCTAACATCTCATAGCCTTCTCATTTCGACTCTAGGTTTGACCCATTAACAAACATAAATACATGTTGCTCACATGTTAGCGTTTTGCACAAAACAGAAGCATTTAAACACACGGGATTAAGAGTCAAATAGGAAATTTCAGATTGTAAGCTAGAATAGTGTTTCTAGTATAATACAAATTTACGCAGTGAAATTGTTTGAAGGCTCAACATATACTTCAGAAAGTCTGAAGTTAGAGGACAATATTCAGATCAAAGTGAAGATTGTCAGACTCAATAGACAAACTATGCTTTGACTGTATTTTCTTAAAACCCAGATAAAAAGTGAAAACTCACTTCAGCTTAAGAAGAGTACCCCCTCCCACCAGTTCCTTGCCAAAGTCAATTGTGACCCAACTACCTGCCAAACTTGACAAATATAAATGACTTACAGGAATCACCATAATGTTCCTCTCCAAGAAAACCTTGTCCGCTTCTGGAGTTGTCGGTCCATTGGCACCTTCAGCAATGATCTACAAGAGCACACAGAGAATTCAACACCATTCCCAAATCCCCGCCATTGAGAGTTTAAGAGGAAATTCATGGCGACTGCTTCACAACTGTGCGAGCCACTCTACCAGTCACTGAAGGGTACACTAAGTGGGCAAACTACTTACCCTGAATTACACCCCTCTCCCAAACTGTGAAGTAAACAAACCCCAAACCAAACTTGTTGCTATAGAGTTGATTCTGACTCATAAAAAAATAAAATACAAAAACACCCTCTGGGTTGGAAGGCATTCAAAACACACACTGAATTAACAACAGACTGAAAACTTCCCAATGGTCATGACTACTCAGTGACGACAAATAGCAACTATCATTCCACACTGATGATGCAGAAGCCAGTTTCTCACGCTTTTTACCTTGGCTTTGACTCTAGGTGCATTAGATTTGGTCAATTGCTTCTCGCTGGCCGCTGGGATCAGTATGTCACAGTCGGCTTCCAAGATGCTTCCTTCGTAGGGCGTTGCCTTGGGGAAGCCCAGGATTGACCCATGTTGCTGTAATTGTGTAAAAAAAAGAAGAAGAAAAAGCAAAACAGATGGCTGTAGCAGTGTTGAAAAGTTTACCTTTAGTGCTTATAACATGAAGTTCATTTATTTGCACTATACTGTAAAAAACCAATATAGGGGTTGAAATACCAAAGTTCACAATATTCTAATTCTTCAATACTGGGCTAACTTACCAATTTGAAGTCTTCCAGTTCCTTTGGATCAATACCATCTGGATTCCATATGCTCCCATCAGATTCCCCAACACCAACACATTTAGCACCAAAGCGATGTAAGTACCTCATAGAGTGCAGACCCACATTACCAAATCCCTATGAAGAACAATTATAAAAGATGCAAAAATCAAAGTGTCCCAGCACAGGCAGTTAAAAGAGTACTATTTTGACCAATATGAATTCAATCTCTTAGCTTAGATATTCGAAAGAACTACAAAAATTGAAAATCCCCCCAAAACATTAATACCTATTTTATGTATTAGCAGTTATACCCAAGAAAACAAGACTTTTACCTGAACAACGAAGGTTTTATCTCCAAACCCTGGTGTCATTCCTAGGATGCTCATGTAAGAAGCTTCATTGATGAAGTTTTCAATCCCATGGAAAACACCACGGCCAGTGGCAGATATGCGCCCATGAATTCCACCTTGACTGATGGGTTTGCCAGTAACACAGGCATGCGCATTAATATCCTGCAATAAAAGGCCATACAATTGAAGTGGAAATGCCAAGTCCAATTTCTACCATAAACCAACGAGATGAAGGATTAAAGTCAAAGCACATTCTCATCACACACACACACACACACACACACACACACACACACACACAAATACACTCATTAGATGTGCGTGTACTTTAAGGTATGCTTTTGCCTAAAACAGGACAAACAACACACACTGCCATCAAGTCGATTACGACTCATGCCTATAGGACAGAGTAGGCTGGAAAATTAGACTATATTTTTCCAAACGGAGAAACACGGCACTTGGGAATTCAACATTCAGTAAGAATAATTTCCCCAAAAGTAGATATAATTTAGCTTAAAAGTATTTATTCTTCAAAAAACATTTCAGCTTTACTCAATGGGCACATCCACCATAAATGTCTTTAAATGTATAGGCTATGATTCTTAGATGGCAAGAAGACTCAAGGTTAAAGTAGTCTAGAAAACAAGATAAACAGTCCCAGAAATCTTAAGGAATTCTACTCTGTCTGATAGGGTCAGTGAGAGCTGGGATTGACTCAATGGCATTAGGTCTAGCTTTGGGGCTGATGACCCCAAGATTGGCATGTACGATGGTAGGCTGTGGTGCACAGGTTGTGAAGGCTGATGGATCTAAGATTAGCAGGTAAAATGGCAGGTTACTGGCTCACAGGCTACAGAGGCTAATGAATTCCAAGACCAGAAGGCAATACAGCAGGCTGCTGGCTCAAATGTAAAGAGTTGGAGGTCATATGATGATAAGCCAGATGCAGAATCCAAATTTAAGCAGAAGGCAAATGAGCTTTTTTTATAAGCCAGATGCAGAATCCAAATTTAAGCAGAAGGCAAATGAGCTTTACCACAATGTCCATATATATATTGGAAGCAGGCCACCTCCTCTAGAAAATGCCTGTTCAACGAATTAGCTGCTCATAGCAGATCTCCTCACAGGGCACGATAACATCTTAATCGACAAACCACTGAGAACCATGGCCCAGCCAAGTTGCACACGACCTTAACCATTACCCCTTCCATGGTAACCAAAGATAACCTAATCTAGCAATCAGAACACTGTGAAATAGATAAATCAACCAATCGAGAAGGAGAACCAAGAAAGTCCAATTACTATAGGAGACCAATATCAAACGAAGGAAGAATTTTAACATCAGTGGCTAAAGCATGGATTATTTAATAATCTTGTGAAGCCAATTTGCTACTTCACACCATGTTTCTATCTGCCAACATAAAGATCCCCCTGGGCGACCTAGAAAGTCAACTGGCCTTTATCAGTATGGCTTAAACATTTTTAAAATGAGATCTCAGAATTGTACTACTTGTGTAATTGCCAACAACAACAAAGCAGTCTGCTAAAGTGGTTTTTCAAAATTAACCGTTTTCCCACAGTTTTCTTTCATGAATAATTAACACTTAGGAATACAGAATTGCAAACTGGTGCCAAATGCTTTTTAAGCAGCGAAAGTGCAAATGCTGGACCTGACATAGTGTCTGAGGTTGGGCATGGTGCCAGTCGCCAAGCTTACCAGCATGCCTAATTGCCTTGCCAAGCCCAGGGGTGGGAATGACCCTCCCCACCAACACCAGCTCTTCCAGGTGGACCTAGTAAACAGAACCTTCAGAGTTCAGGCCCACGTCGGGAAGTAAGTAATTAACAAAAAGAACGGCTTTCTTGTATGAATGCTCTAATTTTGGATTTCTTATCACTTAACCAAGTAAAGTCTCTGACCAGTAGAGTCAAAGGTTTGGCGGCCTCCAAATGTGAATGAGATGCGAAGAATAAGACATCGCCTGCTAGTTTGTACTAGTTGGCTTTGTGTTTCGCTGAAGAACAAAAGACCACATCCAGAATTTATTTACAAGCACCTGTCCTTTGGGAATTGACATTCAAAAGCCAAATTCTTTTTTTCCCTTCTAATTTTTTATTCAGCTCATCACCTAATTTTTTATTCAGTTTTATTCACCCAGTCCTTGATTTCTCTTCTCTCTCTTAGGGCCTACTACCTCCCATTACATCAGTCAACAGTCTAGTCCATGGCTTTGTCTTCTTTCCTTTACCCTCCCCTACTTAGAAGTCTTCAAAGTTTGCTGCCTTCGACACAAGTCTTTATCTTTGTCCCTCCACCCCACCCCTTTTAAACAGTATTTGTCCTTTTATGGTGGACTAATTGTAGAAAAGCAAAAGTCTCCAGTGTTTTGTTTCAAGGAAAGTGTGTGATGTACACGATGCAGTATATGGAGTTGCTGAGGGGAATGGGGGTCAACTGCTTGGCTGCTAACTAGATGGGAAGGCAGTCCAAGTCCGGCCAGAGGTGCTGTGGAAGAAAGGCCTGGTGGTTTGCTTCCCAAGTCAGCCTCGGAAAACCCCACGGAACATGGGTATGCTGACATGGATGGGGTCGCCATGAGTTAGCATTAGCTTGATGGCCACTCATTAGTATTGATATTTATTTTTCTACTGATGAAGGATTGTGTGCTACCCTAAGTATCTTGTGGACTTGTTATTCATTACATTTTCATAATTGCACAATTACACAGCCCAACAAAATTGTTTTTTCTTGGTGTCTTGGGTTTGAGGCCTATTCTTGGAGTTATTTGGGGTGCTGATTCAGAAAACTGCGTAGGATCGACTGCGTCACCTCTAGTTTCTTGTGTACTGAGTGACTGAAAGGTTTATATCAGAAGTTGGGGCTTTCAGTATGAAGTAGATTTTCAGATAATACACTTTTCTTTAAATTTTTATTATGTCTCCTTCCTGCTTGAAAGATATTCATTTAATGTATTTTAATACATTAAAGTATCTTAATTTTTTTTTTTATGGATGAGCAGAGTGAAGTGGTCTATGGCCTATGTTCTGCATCTCAAAAGCCAGAGCTGATAGTAGACAACTGGTGCCATGTTTGGGATCAGCTGGTCACACCCAGCCTTTGAGGCACTGAAATGGGTTGGCCAGTGTCATCATGCTTGTTTCATATGAGGACACTGAGGCATAGAGAGCTTCAGGCAGCCCCCCAGGTCACAGAAAAGGCAGGTGAAGGGTCCCGGCTCTCTGCTTGTGCTCTAAGACACCACTCCCAAACATGACTGACCTCATGGAGGCAACATCCCTCACTATTCCCCTGTCACCCCCTCAGAGAAGAACTCTTCCTCCTCTTCTTCAAGACCAACCCCTTCCACTGTGGTGACTAGATGCTGCTCAGACAGTTTTGACCGACAGTGACCGCCCCCTGTACAACAGTCCTGCACCCTCCTCACCATCATGGCTGCAGCCACTGGGCCAGTCCGGCTCCTTCTCACGGAAACCTCTACGTGACCACACATAAGGTCCTTCTTCAGCAGAATGATGTCTCTTGATAACATGAGCGAAGTATGTGAGACAAAGTCTCGCCATCTTTGCTTCTAAGGAGCTTTCCAGTTATACGTCTTGTTGACAGCACTTTCAATGTCCTTCGCCAACGCCGTAGACTCACGGGCCGCGAGTCTTCCGGGGTCTTCCTTACTCACTGTGCAGCTTTCACATGCAAACCAAGCTTGGCTCAGGCATACTTTCACCCTCAGTGGCAACCCCCCGCCCCCCACCTTTCCTTTTCCTTTAAAAATGCACCAGGCTTTTATTCCAAAGGAAGACTTATCTGCTGCTCTACATTGCCCGCCACTCTCACCAATGAATCTGTGACTAGCCGCTCGCTATACCAGTTAAACACAAAAACATCTTTCTTTCTGGACAACAGCCAGCTTTCAAGTCATCTCTTTGCCACATTTTGAGTGGAGACTTACTTGATGCCCTACTTCCCACTCGATGTCAGCTGGCTGCCTGGCCTCCATCTCACTATTCTGCACAGCCTCATTACGAAATCTTTTCTTTTTGCAGAAACCTGGCCCTGAACACCCACAGCACTGAGCCCTCAGCAGCCCTTGTTCTCTGAGAACTGATGGCTGTTTTTTCTAGGTCACTTTTAAATCTGTTCCCCTCTCTCCCAACTTCACCAACACTGCCGTAAACTAGGCCGTAATTTATAATCTGTATCACAAGTCCTCTTTAAACTGGAAGGAAAAGACAGGATCAAATACTTCTCTCTTTCCTTTCCGGTGCCCAGGAGCATGTCCTGACTTGGTGAGTGAGCTCTCTTTGAAGGCCCCACCCCACCAGATAGGATAGCTTGCAGACAGCCGCTCAGTCCATGTTCCCAAAATGTATGATTTAAGAATGAAGAAACAGCAGTAAGAGAACATGCAAACCAAGAGTATTAGTAAAGGAGAGGACAGGAATCCAGCGATTTTCAACTTCCACACACAGTCAGTTAAGTTGCCATTTCTTGTAGGCAGAAAGTCAACTGCAGCAAATGAGATGGTCAGGGCATGGATGGGTACTCACATAGTGCCCTATGGTGCTGGCATAGGTATCAGCAATCCAGGACATCTCTCGCTCGCCTGTGCTCATGTCAGGGGCAGGCACATCAATGCCAGGACCTGTGGGCACAGGGAAAGGGCACTGGATAATCTCAAACACAACGATCCCTGCCGTGCAGGAAGAATAGCCAAAGCGTTAGATCTGACTTCTGTAACAGATTCAGGTTGTAGAAATACTCATAAACTCTTTCCGTACAAAACTAATGCACACTAAACTCCACATAGCAATTTCCCCCACTGACAGTTACTCCCTATAGTTTTGGAAGTTAGCAATGTACTGCAGACAGAGCACTTGATAAGATTCTGAACATACAGCCATGGGCGTGTCTTCCAGTCTCCTTAACACTGCCACCCTGCCCCGGATTGCTGCCGCGCAGGAGTGCAGGGGACAGTTACAGTAACACACCAGCTGTCTGAGTGCAAATGCTGCTGAACAAGTAGAAAGATAGGGGGAGAAAGCCATACAATGGAGGCCAGTGGGTCAAGCCCTGTAATTCTTGCACCTGTGACAGAATGCTACTTGAAAAAAAAAAAAAAAAAAGAATGCTACTCGATCGATTACGCAAAGCTGAACTTAAGTGTACTTAGATTCCTCAGATCACAATCAAATTTAAAAAATTGATGATGACATAGGCAGTAATAGAAACCACTGACAACACGAATAATTGATGACCACAGTGAGATCTGATAAAAATGTGTATACTTAAATCTGTATACAGGATTATGGCCGATATTCCTATTACAAACAGTAAAAACAAAACCTAATTGTTCATAATACCAGAAACCTAAACCTACTTCTAGTGAGTCAAAAGACTTGTTGTGAAGGGTTTCCAAGGTTGTGAAATCTGTATGGGGACAGAAAGCCTCATCTGTCTCTCACTAAGTTACTGGCAGTTTTGAATCAACCTTGCAATGCTTACCAAGAGCAACACCAGGGCATTGTTCATAACAGTAGACCACTTAAATAAAATATGGTCTATCTACGGAAAGAAATACGATGTAATCCTTTAAAAAAATGTTCTATAATCATATAAGTGACTTGGAATTATCCATAAAAAGTATGTGGAAAAACAAAGTTTCAGACATCGTGTATACGTTCATATTGACATAAAATTCTTTGTCTATAAAGATCAGGCCTTTTTTTCCCACTGGATGGATTTGAACCACCAAATTTTAGGTTAAAATTTGAGTGCAAATCATTTGTACTACCTAGGGTTTAAAAAAGGTATGCACACAACAAGTGCATTTAAGTGTTGTGTCAGCTAAGTCCATATAGAAGCACATCAGCCCATGTAAGCCATGGATTGTAAATAATAAAAGCCAAGATCAGAGGAGGGAATTGTATTGGAGCTTACATTCTGAGCCCAATTTGCAGAAGGCTAAGGGGGACTGAGGAAGCCCAAAATCTACTTGCAGAGTCCCCACACAGATTACACCTACACTTGAATTCCCTCATACCATTCAATGACCACTTATGTGAATAGCCTGGCCCGCAGATGGAGTGTGCTCCATGGGATTACTGTAGATACAGTGAAGAGTTAATATACTATCACTGCCTTTTCCTTTTGACACATTTAAAAAAATTGTTCTAGTTTTTATTACGTTTTACTGTAACTTGGATTAAGGTTTTCTGTGCTTTATTTTGTTGTTGTTGCCGAGTTCTTTGCATATTTTTCTTTATACAAAATACAGGATAGGCAAATCTATAGGAGAATAACTAAAGTAACAATTTTGTAGGGTTATGGAAGGGGAGATTGGAGGATAATGGGGAACAAATAATAACGGTACTAGAATGGAGAAAATGTTCTGTAATTGATTGTGGTGATGAGGGTACAATTCTTTAAAATATATTTAAACCACTGAATTATATAGTATGTGAATTATGTGAACAAAACTTTTAAAAACAAACTTGATCACTTTCAGATTTCTGCCTTGTTTAAAACTTCTATAATTATTTTAAAAATTATTTTATTGGGGGCTCATACAACTCTTATCACAATCTATACATATATCAATTGTGTCAAGCACAGTTATACATTCGTTGCCCTCATCATTCCCAAACATTTGTTTTCTACTTAAGCCCTTGGTATCAGCTCCTCATTTTTCTCCCTCCCTTCTCGCTCCCCCCTCATGAACCTTTGGTAATTTAGAAATTATTATTATTTTGTCATGTCTTACACTGTCCGATGTCTCCCTTCACCCACTTTTCTGTTGTCTGTCCCCCCAGAGAGGAGGTTATATGTAGATCTTTATTATAATCGGTTCCCCCTGTTTACCCCACTTTCCCTCCACCCTCCAATATCGCCACTCTCACCACTGGTCCTGAAGGGATCACCTGTCCTGGATTCCCTGTGTTTCCGGTTCATATCTGTACCAATGTACATCCTCTGGTCTAGCCAGATTTGTAAGGTAGAAT